CTTTTGATAGGGTCTGGCTCTATCACCTAAGCTGGAGTGCAGGGGTATGATCTCCATTCACTGCAACCTCCCCTTCCTGGACCCAAGCTATCCTTTCACCTCAGCCTCCAGAGTAGCTGGGGCTACAGGTGTGCACCACCATGCCCAGCTCATTTTTATATATTTTGTAGAGAAAAAGTTTTGCCATGTTACCCAGGCTGGTCTTGAACTCCTGGGCTCAAGGAGTCCACCCACCTTGGCCTCACAAAGTGTTGGAATTACAAAGTTAGAAGAACAAAAATATCAAGATAGCTTAAAGAATAATCCAACAAATCCAACATTGTGAATTGTGAATTTTATACTGAGACCAAACAAGTCCATTATGATGGTGAAAAAAATTGGACCTAGGTTATGGTCCATTTCTCAAAATTGAAAGGCTGATAAAAGAGGGGAATTGTTAAATTAAACCTTGGCCTAAAGCTGTCTCTACATGAAGCAAACTATAACCTAATACATGTATATATATCATATATAACCTACCTTGAGACTACATTCTTGTAACCAGCAACTGAGTGTCAACAGTAGCAACTGAGCTTTTGGTCAATCACAGGCTGGAAGCTGCTCAGACATGTCCCAATAAGGCAAGTGCTAGGCTGGAACAAATCAGGCTATTTCGGTATGTCACTTCCTTTTTCTATCTAAAAATATGGACTGCCCACATTGCCAGGTAGAGTCTTCTGAACCTTTACTGGTTCAGGGTACTGCCCAATTCATGAATCATTTGTTTGCTCAAATAAATTATGCTAAACTTAACTTGTCTAAAGTTTTTATTTTAATAGCATCATACTGTTTGAAATGCTTGTTCCTTGGTGCCATAAAGAAATAACACTTGAACATAAATTTAATTTCCTCAGCAAGGCCACTTCTATACTTTCTGCAGAAAGGGTACACCCACCAGCAGTTTTGCCATGAGGGTACCATGAACAAAGGAGACAGGGTCATTTATAACTTGACACATCCACCTTACTGCTGTGTCCGGTTTCCATTGGCTAGAACAGGATCTCACATTCTGTATTTGTCCCGATTGGCTAACACATTAGAACTTTTTAAAAGAGGCAAAAGCAGAGGAGAACAAAGGAAGGAGGAAGTAACTTGTAGAATGCTGAGAAAAATAAAAACACCTTCAAATAAGGAAGAGAAACATGCTATGACCTAATGCTTGCTTGGACTAGTATAAGCATGCAGGGCAAATATTTAGGCTAAACGATAAGAGCTAAGAACACAAAGTACATTGATTTCTTTATTACGGCTAGCAGATATTTAAGAATGTTAGTATAGGTCTTTGAATAAATTTTGCTTTTAAGAGAAGTTACTATTTATTCCTAATCAGATGGGGAGAAAATCTTTCAAGAGGAACCTCTACTTTTTACAATTCCTCCTCTTATTTCACAATTCTTCTTCAAACTTGTTTAATATGTTTTGACTTAATTGCTTTGTTTGTCCTTTTAAGAGAAGTAATTTTTCTGAATCGGGTGGAGGAGAGTTAGGAGTTAACTCTGTAATCATGGCAGAGACAAGTTTTTTGTATAAAACTTCGAAGGTAGGGAATAATATAACAGAGTACAAGAATAAGTACACCAATAACAAGAGCAAATGAGGTGAGAATTGAAGTTAAAATTTCTTTTTATCTACTGAACAAATGTTCTATTATTTTAGGAAAAGGGTTGTTTATAATTTTTGGCAAGTTTATTGGATAGGGCTGTTAATTCTTGTAGCACTTTTGTTATAATTCTGTCAGAGGCAGTATTTTTAGGAAAAAAGGTATAACATTAAATTTTAATTATGACACACATACACACACAAACATCTTCTTTTTCTGCTGATATTATATTTAAAGTTATTTTATTTTTCTAGGCCATCTGGCTGGTATGTCCTAATCTGGACATACCAATCTGGGCCTCTGGCCTACCATGCATACACGCATAATAATCACTTTTATTTAAAGTGCAAATAGAATATTTAATTCATTCCAGTCAGGCATTTGCATCTTGATATTTTTGTCTTGATGGCTAAGGTCTGTCTTATATCTCTTATTTTTACAATAGACACCTTAGTTTTATTATTAGATGTAGGAGCAACCGGTGTGGGATCTAGAACTGAGGCTACTGAAGAAGGGGAAGATGGGGGAATAATGCATATTTTAAAACTACTTACGGGGTCTTTTCCATTTATGTCAATCTCCGTACCATAGAAGCGACTAAGGGCTGGTCTAGAGTTAGTTAAGGTGGAGGTGGTGATAAAGAGAAGGACAGGGTTACATTGATAATGCTGCCAGTTAGACAGGGTAGTCCTTTTGGTGGAATAGATGAGGGGTTTTAGATCTGTACAAACCTTTTTTGTGGAAGTCCAACTTCGCTCCTAAGTAGTTTAAAGGATGTAGTCCTATTTACTACAAGGTTGCCAGGCTGCAGGAGCAGAAAATCGGTGTCTTGGCTGCCGGTGATCACAATGATGAGTGCTAGGGGTAACTGTGTCCATTAGAGGGCCGGGTCATAAATATTTATGTGAAAAGGCTAACTGTCATTGATCTTTTACATCTCCACAAGGTATGGCAGAGCAAGCACTAAAGGCAATGGTCTGAGGTGAGTCAGACTTAGTTACATTAATAACAAAGGAGTTAGTAACAGAATAAGGAAAGGAAAGGAAGCAATATAGAAGGTATATGAAAATTAAGCTTTCTTTAACTTTAACTTAGTAGGGCTTGATCTTAGTACAGTAACTTATGATTCTGAAGAGGTAAATGTTTTCTTGACTCGAGTATGGTGGCTCCATTCTTTCTCAGCTGTGCGGACAGCAATCTCAGTGGTTAACAGCATAAAATAGGGTTCTTCCCAGGCTGGTTCGAGTGTTTTTCTTTCTATCTTTGGATGAGAACGTGGTTTTCAGGCTGGTGCTGGTGTACTGGAAATTCTAGGAATGGTACTTGTGCTAAAAGACTTTTAGTTCTGAGGGAAGGGAAAGTGGAAGATAAATTAAGTATGTAATTTCTGCTGCATATCCTGGGGCTTGAGGCCTCATGGTGACACCTCCTGCTCCATCCCCGCTCAGCACCACCCAGGGGATGCTGTGGCCTTGCCCTCTCTTAAGGTCTTGGCCTTCTTGTGGCCTTCACTGCCCCTGTGCGCTGTGACCTTGGGGATGAGGGGCCTTGTGACTTACCCAGCCACCTTTGGGCCTTAAGAAAGCTAAACACCATTTTACATTTGACAGTGTTTTTTGTATGATTTTATACCAGATAAGTTAAATTTAACTTTTATATTAATGTGCTATTAATGTTAAACTTAATTTTAATAAAATATTGTAGACATTTATCTAATTTTAATGTCTGACTAGAAGGTAAGACTTTTATAGACTCTTTTTAACTTTTTATAATTTTTGTTAAAGAGCAGGTTAGTGCTTAAGAAAAATCTATTGTGCTTTTACTTTAACGTCAAGTTCACAGAAAAACTAGATGATATCTCTTTAACTTTCGCCATCATGTTTACACCCAGAATTTCCTTTACAATTAACATTTTAAAACTTGCTTAAACTTTTAAAACAAAATATATATTTTTTAACTTTTTAATGTAGGTAAAAATCTATATTCTTATGCCTCCTTATAATCCTGTTATTAAAAGTATATTTTATTTTTCATACATACCTTGTACATAAACTGTTTTTTAAATAGTTTTACATTCAGGAGGCCTAATTACTTTTAAATTATACAATATTTCTTGCATAAATTCCTCTCCATAACTTTTCTTATGACTTTCACAGACAATCTTCAACTTGTCTTAACTTTCTGCCTTCCTTTTACACTATTTCTTTTCGTAGTTTCACCCTCTGTGTCTTTCTTTGATTTCTGTCTCTTCTAGTTTCTCTCTTACTTACTCTTTCCATCTATTTATCTGTCTCCTCTCATTTGGACTCTACTTTCCTCTCTGTCATCCTCTGTTTCCTTTTCCCCTCCGGAGTTCTCCAGCTCCTACCACAGGCAGGGCCAGGCCACAGCATGGACTCCACCCCTGCGCACGTGTTGTCATCTGTTTCTTCTGTTTTTTATTTTTTCCGATTTCCCTTTTTACTTTTTTCCCCCTCTTTCTTCCTAGACTTAGTTTCTTGGACTGGGTGGGTTTTGTGCAGCTGCAGTCCTGGCCCCAGGGGCCATCCCCCACGTTCTCCTCCTGGCGCCAGCCCCTGCCTTCTTTTTCACTTAGAGCCTGGCTGGGGAGAGGGACTTAACTCTTGGTGTGCCTGGCTGTCTGGTGTCACACCTGCTGTTTTTGCTCTTTCTCCTTTCCTTTCCCCTAGGGGAGTGAGCGGTGGGAGTGGAGCTTAACCTTTTCTTTCCCTGAGAAGAAGGAAAAGGAGAATGTGAATATATATGTGTGTGTGTGTGTATATATATATATATATATATATATATATTTTTTTTTTTTTAACCACCAGAGGTTTTTGTGAGGTTCAACCCCTCCACCAATGGGGATTTCTCACTTCTTTTTGAGATTGAACTTCTTATCAATGGGGATTTCTTTCTTTTTTTTGAGGTTCAACCCTCCTATGGCAATTTTTCACTTCTTTCTGAGGTTCAACTTCTTTCTTAATGGGGATTTCTTACTTCTGTTTAACTTCTAAGATGTCTTGACTAAGGAATACTTCACCACCCCCAACAGATTTCTTTCCTTAGTCCTGACTAACGAATGATTTACACCCCACCCCGCCATGGTCTTTTTGGTATGTCTTAACCAAGGAATGCTTTACTGTCTTGGGGCTTGTGGCTTTTTCTTTAGTCTTGACTACTAAGGAAATACTTAACTGACTTTTCTTTTCTTTTTTTCTTTTTTGTCTGTGTGCAGAGTTTCTTAGTTCACATGATATGTGAGGATCCTTTACTCCAGATTGCCAGCCAGTTTTTGTTGTTGTTGTTGTTATTGACTTTCTTTTTTTCTTTTTTCTTTTTCCTTTTTTTTTTTGTGTTGCAGAGGATCTGGGTTTATTCATCACACTGGATGGATCTTGAGTCCTTATCCTTGAGGCCATTGCAATGAGTCAGATGAGCATGCTTCTTCATGATAGAGGACTGGAGACCACTTCTGTAGGAGAATGTATCCCTATACAGGCCACCAAATTATTTGAAATGCTTGTTCTTTGGTGCCGTAAAGAAATAGCACTTGAAAATAAATTTAATTTCCTCAGCAAGGCCATTTGTATACTTTCTGCAGAAAGGGTACACTTGCCAGCAGTTTTGCCATGAGAGTACACTGAAAAAAGGAGACAGGGTCATTTATAACTTGATGTGTTCACCTTACTGCTGTGTCTGACTTCCACTGGTTGGAATGGGACCTCACATTCTGTATTTGTCCTGATTGGCTAGCAACTTAGAACTTTTCAAAAGAGGCAATGGCAGAGGAGAACAAAGGAAGGGGGAAGCAGCTTGTGGAATTCTAAGAAAAGTAAAAACACCTTCAAATAAGGAAGAGGACCAGGCTATGATCTAATGCTTGCTTGGACTGTAGCAGGATGAACTGTAGACAAAACTCTCAGACATTGAGTTAAAGAAGGAAGGGGTTTGTTCAGCTGGGAGCATTGGCAAGACTCCTGTCTCAAGAGCTGAACTCCCTGAGTGAGCCATTCCTGTCCCTTTTAAGGGCTCACAGCTCTAAGGGGGTGTGCGTGAGAGGGTCATGATCAATTGAGCAAGCAGGGGGTACATGACTGGGGGCTGCCTGCATCAGTAATTAGATCCGAACAAAACAGGATAGGGATTTTCACAGTGCTTTTCTACACAATGTCTGTAATCTATAGATAACATAACTGATTAGGTCAGGGGTTGATCTTTAACTACCAGGCCCAGGGTGTGGTGCCAGACTGTCAGCTTATGGATTTCATTTCTGTCTTTTAGTTTTTACTTTTTCTTTCTTTGGAGGCAGAAATTGGGCATAAGACAATATAAGGGGTGGTCTCCTCCCTTATTACCCCCTTTGAGACTCTCAATAACGGGAGTTCTCACTTTCATTTTTACTACCTATGTCTTTTTGCAAGACAGATTGATAGTGATTCATATAGTACACTTGTGCTGAAACATTTTGATGAACTAAGGTAGCGATGAAGCTTTTTATCATTTGAAGAAGTACAGGTAACAAACAAGGGAGCAGTAAGCAGGTTCCTATTACTATTATAACTCTTATTATAAGAGTTTTAAATCCTTTTAGTGCTGGGAACCATTTTCCAAACATGGCCCCAGGATCAAATCCATGCCACACTTACACAGGCACATATGCCAGTTTTATCATATCTCTAACTATGTCTTCAACTACTTGCCCTTGATTATCTATGTGTAGGCAGCAATTAGTAAGGTTAAATTTCTTACAGACCTCTCTTTCAGCTGCTAGCAAGTAGCTGAGAGCTAATTTATTTTGATAGATAGCATTTCTCATCTGAGTTTCTTGCCAGGCCAGAATAGTCAAGGCTCTGCTGGTTTTATTAGTGATTATTTTTAAGACAGTTTGTAACCATATGATTTGGTTGATCATGTAAATGGGGGTCCAGTATCCCCACGAGTTGTCTTGTGCCCAAGTAGCAGGCCTAAATATTGTATGAGTCTCTCAGGGGGCCATTTATCATTTTTTCAATTTCCTATAGCTATGCTTCTTTTTTGTGGGAAGCATAGACAGGAAAGCCCAGGAGTTCACCTGTTTTTATGGGCAGTAGGAAGAAAGATGGTTTAATAGTGCCAATAACACAACTACCTGCCCGCTGGTCAGGTAATTTGGCATAAACTCTATGCCCACATATCCAGTATAATCCAGTGGGGGCTGTCCAGTCCTGGTGGGACTCTGGGTGGGTCCACATGGTTTGCAACTTTGGAAATTTACTAAATGGACTTCTCTCTGTGTGATTTGAACTCCACCAAGTGACTGTTTTTGTGGTATCATTATACAGTTTCTGTCTCAGACAACTAAGTTGTCCTACAGGGTGAGTGAATTCTTTTCCTTTGCTAGTTATGCAATATTGTCCAATAATTGAGGTTTTCAGGGCCCAGAAATTATCAGGGTGATTCTTTTGAGCAGGGAATTCATCAGGAACTGGGTCTCTAGGTACTAATTCTTTGGCTTCTCGTGGCCATTGATCTCCTATTATACTTCCTCCACATACATAACATAAAGTGACATTGAGAGACTGGGCTACATGCTTGGCTAATTGCAGAAACAAATTTCTTGTTTTTCCTGGAATTTCTGGTACTGGCACATTTAGTTCATCATAGAAAGTTTGAAACACTGGCTCAGGAGAGCGTTTGTAAACTTCTCCTCGAACCAAGATATTTACTCGAGGATCCAGTCCGGCCCCATAGATTCTTAAGGTCACATGCTCCTCTTTTTTCTAGTGAGGATCAAGGGGATTTGTTATTACTAGATCTAAAGGGCTACATTGTCCCTTAGTACAGGAAGGGTCATTTTTTCCTTTCTGAAGGTGGACTGGATCCTTTTCATTTTTTTTTATCCAAGTGGCCTAAATGACAGAAGACCAGTATTTATATTTATTTCCACACAGTCCTAATTTATGACAGATGTACTTATTTTGTGCTATATAGCCTCTTTTCTAATTAAGAGAACCACACCTTATTTCTAACTTACTACTATTAATGACAGCACAGGCATCAAATTTTAAGGTGACTTGTTTGGCCACCCCTTTTTCTTCTGTTTTGCTAACATTTTACTCATATCACTTCTGAGCCCCACCAGTCCTCAGTCCTTAATCTTATTTTAAAAACTGTGGTCACGGGAGGCTCAGATGGGTCTTAACACACATCAGGTTGGTCATTTCCTGGGCAACATAGCTTGAATAGAATAGCATTACACAAACAAGTTCTTTTTAGAGTTCCAGTACACTTATAATAATCATAAAATAATAGGACCGTAGCAACCTTTTGTCCTATGTCAGTGACTTGATATGTACACTGGGAACAGTCCTCAGTCTGAGGAAGGTCATTTGAAGTCCTTACTGTAAAAGTCCAAATTTTAAGGAAAATGGGTCGTGCACTGAGTTTTCTCATGCTTCAGCCATGCGTGGACCAGTCAGCTGCCAGGTGTGACTGGAGCAGGGCTTGTCATCTTCTTCAGAGTCACTTTGCAGGGGTTGATGAAGCTGCTCCCATCCACGTACTGATCATGGTCTACTGATGTTTAAGATGGTCTCAGAGGTTGGGCCTGCTAGAAAAAACTGAGTCCAACACCTCTACACAGTTATGTTCAACTGGGCTCTCTGATACCGGGAGCAAGGTGGTGGGGTTTAGGGTGTTGCAAACTTCAATGGTTATGTGGGGATTTTCACATAGCAAGCTTTGATACTGAGTTAATCTAGCATTTGTTAACCAATGACGTCCTTTGGTAGTCATTAAAGTTACCACGGCATGGGGGGGCCTTTATATTCAGGTTTTGCCTAAGGGTTAGTTTATCTGCTTCTTGTGCTAACAGGGCCATTGCTGCTAGGGCCCTTAGACCTTGGAGCCAGCCTTTGGAAACCCTGTCTAGTTGTTTTGAGAGATAGGCCACTGGCCTTGGCCAGGGCCCCACAGTCTGGGTTAAAACTCCAACTGCCATTTTTTTCTCTTTCTGACACATACCGCGTAAAGGGTTTTGTCAGGTCAGGTAGCCTCAGGGCTGGGGCCGACATGAGTTTTTCTTTTAACTCATGAAAAACTCATTGCTGTTGGTTGTAATAGATGCAGTTTATCTAATCTACATTTTTATTAACTGTCACCTACCAAAATATTGACTCAAATCCTGCAGCTATTTGATTTCAAGCTTTAAATTAATCTGCTATTCCTCGTGGGACTCCAATTGTGTCTAAATAGACAGGAGAATCGAAAGACGTATAAGGGCCTTTTCTTGCTTTACAATGTTTTATTTTATTTTTTTCCTTCTGGTTGATGAAATGCCAGGGTGAAAGGGATAGCCAATTGTACTAAAGTACAAGGGCCACTCCAGCTTTTCGGCACATTGTCCAGTAAAGGTCCACCACAATACCACTATACATCTGCTCGGGGATGAACAAGGGCTGATTGATTGACAAACTCTTGAAAATTCTTAAACTTACTGCATCCTTTCAGGTCTCCAAGGAATTGCTAAGTTTCCTTCCTGTCGTGAGAGACATGAAGTGAACTTAGTGTTGGGAGACAGAAGCTGGATGGCCCTCAGGGGCTGACCTGCAGGGTGCCAGACTTTGGTTTATAGCAGAGAGAACTTGGCATGACTTATTACTCCAGGCTGTAGAATCCTGGAAAAGAGCTACCATGCAGTCCACACCTGGTCGACTGGAGGACCACCTTAGTGGAAAGGGGACAATCTGGGCCTCTGGCCTGCCATGTGCACAAGCCTAACGTTTGCTTTTGTTTATCTTGCAGATGGAATATTTGATCCGTTTTAACCAGGCATTTGCATCTTGGTATCCTGTCTTAATTGTTAAAGTTTGTTTTAAGTCTGTAACTTCTATGATCCTCTAGTAAAATGAATGTATGGTTTTAGGAAATTACAAAAACTGGTTGGGACAGTCCATCCTTGCTCTTTAGTGGTCCACAGAATTTTGGACCAACTATATCATGAAAGCTCCACATCAGGGGGCAAGGCTCCTGGTTGTCACTGGGGTCTTTATCAAAATCTCCCCAGATTAAATGGTCCTAGTTTACTAATGCCCAGTCTGAGGAGAGTCAGGAGGGACAGAAGTACTTTTCTGAAGTAGAAAGTTGTGTTTGACTTGGCAAGTCCCCACAGGTTATAACAAGGCAAGCATTAAATGCAATAGTTTGAGTCAAAATTGACTTGGTTATGTTAATAACTAGATGGTCAGCAACAGAGTGAGGAAAGAAAAAAGAGTAATAGATTAGATGAAAAGAGTTAAATTTTTCTTAGCTTTAGTTTGGTAGGGTTTTCCCCTGGGTCTATGGCTCATGACTCTGGAGGGGGTGGTGTTTTCCTGAGTCAGGTGTGATGAGTCCATCCTTTTTTTTTTTTTTCTTCTTCTGTATGAACAACAGTCTTGGTGGTTAGCAGCACAAGGCAGGGTCCTTCCCAGGATGGCTCGAGTTTTTCTTCTTTCCACCCTTTGATGAGAACGTGATATTCAGGCCGGTGCTGGTTTGCTGAAATTCTAGGGTGGTACATGTACTAGAAGACGTTTAGTTTTTGAGAGAAAGGAA